ATACAGAACAAGAAAGTAATAGGATACAGAATAAAGAACAAGAAAGCAGTAGGATACAGAATAAAGAAAAAGAGAGGAGTCGGATACAGAATACAGAACAAGAGAGGAGTCGGATACAGAAGACAGAACAAGAGAGGAGTCGGATACAGAATACAGAACAAAAATTGAAGGGTAGGAACTTAGAACTAAAGAGTTAGAACCAAAACAATAGGTAAATAAAATTCAGGACAAGGCAAATTTTAAGTTAAATATCAAGAATTACCAACCTAGATAAATTCTTGTATATCTATGATTACCAAGAAACGGACGGAGAACCCCTCAAAAGTAATAATTAAAATATTGAAAGTCTGATACGGCTTGCTGAGATGGTTCGATTTTTTCTTTTTAAAGATCGTAATTCATTCTTTATTTAAAAGTTTATAGTTGATCGAAGGATGAATATGTCGGATATAAATCTGCAGTGCGGAGTCCTACGACCTATAGAGTCCCTGGAGTCAAGAGTCCCTCTCCTATGCTAAGAAGTGTATTATATCTTGTAGACATGCCATCACTTCCCTGTTGTAGTTCATTCGAATGAACTCCAACGGAAAAATATTGAAAATCTGCCAAACCATCCAATTTTTCCCTTTTTTCTCTTTCAGGATCAAAGTTTGAAATAGTGTAAGAGGAGCAAAGGCTTTTTAGATATTTTTTCTCAAAAACTTTATTCTTGCACTATGCAATAACGACCCAAAACGATAAAAAACTACAAAAACGATGAAAAAACGACCCATAACGATAGAAAAACAACCCAAAACGATGAAAAACAACCTAAAACGATGTTTCAACGAGCGTTTTTATTTTTTTAGTGATTTGATCTGATTGTCATTCAGATATTGTAAAGTCTAAAAAAAGCAAACTTTAACATTATAGAGTTTTGAAATCATGGAAGTCTGACCAATAAAGAAAAAGCGATAACAACACAACATCCAGAGAATTTGTTAAGCAATAATGGATCAATATTAGGAGACCATTCCAAGAATTGCACATTGAAATGTGAAAACTCCGGTCCATGTCAAGTTCCGGGCCGGCTTTTAAGCAGTTAGAGCAAGTTATACAGTATTCGTGGACTAAAATCGGCAAAAGAATCAGGTAACTTTCTTCGGAGATTTGTGTGAACAGAGGGAGGTGTATACAACGTTATGGTACGACTTTGTGACCTTGTAGCTCCTCTCTAGTTCTGATTTTACGTACGAGACCAAGAAATTTATCCATATACATAATGAAAATTCATAACATTAAATTCTTCTCAAAGAGGAGTTATGATTAAAATCATAAAGGATTTCCATCTTACCAAGGTTCTGAGGCAAGGAAAGTTATTTCAGAGGTGTACGCATTTTTTGTACTGCAGTGTACTGTCTTTGGGCGGACATGGAATCCGATTTCACAAAAATAATCGATGAAATATTCTAGTCATAGGAAACTATTTTGTGAATTATCAAAATTATCAAAATTAAATGCTTTGTTCCTCCTTGGAAACTAAACGAACACTGATGCATCTATTTATAATTCCGCCGAGAGAGAACTGGTTTCAATATGTACGCAGAGTATATCACAACCGCAATTAACTTTCCTTGCATTAGTACCTTGCATCATACAATTAATTTACTTTAGTTTGACGTGATCGAGGAATAATGTTTTATTTCCGAATCTGTTGATCGCTCTCTACCTCCTCTACCTGAATCAGACTTCATTTAACTGATACAAAGTTTTTTATTTAAAAAAAAAATTAAATAGCCTAATAGTTTTTAACATAAGTACAAGCAATATAATATAACAAAGTTTACTGATAATTGGACGGGTAGATATTTGTAGCATGGAATGACAATTGACAATTAGAAAACAAGAAAAAAATAATAATTTTACATCTACACAACTAAAACAATCGCAGATCAATGATTTCACATGGATGTTATTTAGATGATTTACATTTGTTTTTCCTTTACTTGAAGGTTATACCTATCCTCGATCACAAGTAAAACAATTAGCGGCCAATTTAGCATGTAAAAGCGCAAATGCGGGAGGGGTCCATAATTGCTATCCTTTTGAACGAAAATTATTTCGCGACTCGCGTTGTAATTAACAAAAGCTACCATTCACAACAAAACCAAAATTTTGTCATCCCTTTTAAAAACAAAAGTTGCACCTTCAGATTTAATAAATGAAATAATAAGTTAACTAACTGGTTTTACAATGCAATGTACATAAAGTGCAGTTTACAGTATGATTGAATAGGAAGCTAAACATTAAACATGGCACTGCTGTGTTTAATGTCATTTTATCACGGGGTAATTCATGTACAAGGTGAGAAACTTGTACCGCCCGGAGATTTTGTTGACAACTGAGAATTTTTTCAAACGAGTATTATTAATCCGGCAATAAAGAAAATATAAGAAGACAATTTGGAAGTAAATTTAAAGACACTTGGCACGATATTAGGCAAGATTAGTTAATTGCCAGGCCGGTACAAAACTCACATTGTTACAGTCGATTCATGAAGGCAGACCAGTACAGAGTATTACTGACCCGCTTTTACCAAACCGGCTCGAATACCTGTTGTACAGTACTAATACCTTAAAAAAGTACGATGAAAGAAATCAATGTTGGCCTTAGATGAATAAACTAAAGGACGGTTGGACCAACTCCTTCAAAAACAAAAAAAATTGTACTGCAATGTCATTTGACGAAGTACACAAGCTAAACAAGAACACGAACGCGACGTACACGACGAATGTGAGAAACACGAAGGACACAAACTGTACACAAAGTACAAAGATCTGTACTTGTAAAAGCCGTTTTCTTAGCCGTGTGAAGTAAGGATCGTTTTACTCACGAGTTCACCATGGTAGATAGAACTTCAGAATAAAATTCAATTTAACCCGGGTAAAAGGACTAAGAAATTGGACATAATACAAAATTAAAGTAAATAAACTGTACTGAGCCTGGTTTATGACAAGTACCCTAGAGGAATGTGAACCAAATAGGTTGTCAAGTACAATAGACGGCAACACAGAATGCGTACACTTTCAGTACAGCTGTTTAAACGTCATAAGTGTCAACTCAAATTTTCTGTTTGACAAAACTATAAATAAAAGTGATATTTTTAGACTAAAGAGCTTATCTTTTAGTGAAATTAGTGCAATTTTATGTGTTCTTTATTTCTGTTTCTTTTTATATTACAATCACTTCTTTAATTATGGAGCAGGAGCCGAAAAAATCGATTTCCAAGATTTTTCAAATTTTAATTTTTTACATATATTCATTTGTTCATAAATAACCAAAAAATTCACAAATTTTCGTACATTTTATGTAAGTTATCTGTTGCAGCCAAAATGTTGGATCTGCAAAGTGTTTTGTGAGACAACATGTATCTTATATTGAAATTTCGCAAAATGGATGTCTGTGTGATTGGTTTTGATAAAAAACGACATTTTTTAAAATTTTTTTTAAAATCCATCAAGATGGGGGGGTACTTTAAAGGTATACTATGACCATATACTAAGTCAACATTACATTATTATGAATTAAATGATATTTTTGGTCTTAATTAATTATATTTTTTCATTTAGGGGGATGGCGAAGAACTTGTTTTGTGCCTGGATGCCGTCCACCCCATGGGACATCCAGATTTAAATTTCCAAAGAATTAAAGAAGCAGGAATTGTGGCTGAATTCTTTGAAAACTGACGACACTAATGAAATCGGAGATAGCCGAGTGTGTGCTCTTCATTTTGCTAAGTCTGATTTTATGCCAAATTTGAGCACTTTTTCGAAACTTCCAGAAATCTCCCCTGCAAGGAAATTTCTCTGATCCTCTGCAATCCCATCAATAACTGTAAAAGAACCAAGATCTCCATTATCAACCTTTTTGTAAAATTCCAAAGAATAAGGCATCTAAATGTTTTAGTAAACAAACAAGGTCATCACACGATACGAAATTTACAACAAAAAGGCCAATTTATGTTTTAATAAATAGTTAAAAATATTTTTGTATTTTTATTATTGTTTTTTTTTGTTGTTGTTGTGTATGATGATATAATGTGTATACTTAAGTCATTGTTTAACACACCAAAACTTCGTCACTTTTAAAACAACGTAATCCAATGATTTTTTGTAAAATTCGTATAAATTATGAGTGTTTCAAAAAATTAGAAGTCTAAATTTTTAAAAAAATTATCTGGCTTTAGAGATTGAACAGTAAACCTTTAATAACCCTAGAAATATTTACTTTAATGCTACTTAGAGGGCTGGGGCCTGGACGCCCCCCCCCCGTCCCTCAGACTATTTACTTTACATAGATATACAGTGAAAAAAAAAATAAGCCACCAAATGACAGTAAAAATACTCTATCTAATTTCGAGTTGTAAATATTTTTTAGGTATTCCTACAAAGACGACATTTATCTTCACCGAATCTTGGAAATTATACCAACTAATTAGAGGACATGTCGTCTTTCTTTTTTCATTTGACACATATGACGTTGTGCGCAGTTGGTCGATTTTTCTGTTGCCACCTATTGTACTTGACAACCTATTTGATGTGAACTGTAAACACAGATAAGAAGGAAGCTTTTTTACAATACTTTTACGAAGAAACTAGATAAATAAATATATCTTATATAAATTAAATTCTTTTCAAAAATTTAAATTGAGTTTTTCTAATGTTTAGCACTTTGATTTTATAATAACGACAACTTACGTACAATAGGAACAAAAAATATAACTTTAATAAAAACATTAATTAAACAGTAGCACTGAGGAAAAACGTTTTAAAAAGATTCATATAGAAATTAGGTTTCTTCAAAGTACTTGAAAGATTACTGACATATTTTTATTTACCCCATATTGAAAGAGTGTCATAAGAAATTCACAAAAGTACTATTTTCACCAATATCTGAGAAGAAATGATGCTTAACTTAATTAGTCTCCCTGAATTAGTACAAATCTTGACAAAAACTTCAAACCTCGAATATAAGAAGGTTCGTAGTTAAAAACTGTAAATTTGCAGATTTTCAAAGGCTTAAAAAGCCAGTTGTGATTCGTTAATGATATACTCATTAAATAAAGGGTCACTTTTTCTTGTCAGTCTCTTGAAAGAATGACGAATTCATTTTCATTTAGTATCACAATACATTGATAAGATTTTGTTGAGCTGAGACGAAAATATTTTTGATAATGTAGCAACTCTTGGATCAAAAAGTCTAATTTTGAAATATCAAAAGTTTACACCATTAGGTTGCAAAGATAAAGGCATTGGAAAATTCGACTTTGTGGCAAAAATTACACTTTCTCTCCCAGAGAAGGGGGTGGGGGTCGCTTGGCAATTGAAAAGATGGAAAAAATACTCAATTCATACTCATTGACATATATGGCGCAGTAATAATTGCGACAAGGATACAGAATCAATTTTGTGACGCAATACCGTTACTAATTACAAGTTTTGAGCCTTCTTTGACTTTCTTTAAGGATTGTATAAGTACACGATGCAAAATTTAGCCGGGAAACAATCATTGATATTTTCCAAGCTCAGAATATTTAGATATTTTCTATATACTCATAAAAAAAATTAGGTTCCTTATTTCGGCCAGACACATTTCACTGGCCCGTAATTCCTTAACTGCTTCTTCGTGAGCAAAGCACACTTATCCAATCTGGAAAATATTTTCAAGGTTTATCTTATCAAAACTTCTATATTTTTATGTCTTACAAATTCATGCTGAATTTGAACATTTTTGGAGAAATTCGTATTTTTATATATTTTTTTCATAATTTTTAACAAGTTGGTAAAAAGGACAAAAATGTGCTAAAGTAAATATAATTTTAGCAAGAATAATCTCTAAAGTTTAATTTAAAATATATATATTACTATATAAAATATAGTTGCTGATTAAAAATCTATATTTTAAACGTTTGTTTCAAGGGCGTATTCAGGAATTTATCTAGGGAGGACTTAAACAATCAAATTATGTCATAACTTCATTTTATTTCTGTCTTTTTTTCTTTGTTTATTTTTTACCTTTTATCCTGAAGTTTCACATGCATTGTCATCAACTGGTTGGGTGTGACCTGGTGGGATGAGATGACCTGCTTGAAGAGACAAGGTTTCAGAGCTCTCTTAGAGTAGGAGAATCCTATATGATCCTCAGGACGCACACCTATACTCCTGGTCATTTAAACAATTTAGAAAAAAGCATTATTTTAGAAAATAAAAAATTGCGGCCGATGCAAGGGTACCTTTTAAATTCAGATTATAAGAGCCTTCTTGTGTAATTAAAAATTTGAAGACAGAAAATACCCTTTATAATCAAAAGTAGTTGTTAAGTACAACACTTTAATCTAGCTTAATTTAATAACGTACATATTGAAAGTAACCTTGTAAGGTAAAACTGTAAAGTATCTCTGTAACGTAAATCTGGAAAGTATTCCTGTAACGTATATCTAGAAAATATCCCGGTAAGGTAAAATGTAAAATATCCCTGTAACGTACATCTAATCTGTAATAAGTATCTGTAAAGTATCCCTGTAACATTTAACTGGAAAGTATCCCTGTGACGTATATCTGGAAAGTATTTGAGTAAAGTATATATGGAAAGTATCCCTGTGACGTATACCTGGAAAGTATTCCCGTGAGGTAGATATCCTCTAGGTGGAAAAGTGGAGTTTCCAAGGATGCCGCGTAAAGTTTGCGCGCAACTTCTCGTTGCATTAGATATCCTGTTCCACTCAGATAATTGGGAAACTTCTTCTCCTTAAACATATAGGTTGGGACGAACCACTTGTTGTGCGGGTCCTTGATAGGAACTGCATTACAGATTAAGCTGCCGACTAGAAGATTGGGTTTCCGGTTGGCCTGCGCTAATTCGTACAGTTTCCGGACGTTTATGTACATGTCGTCATCTGTCTTCAGAACATATTCAGTTCTTAACCTGGAAAAGTTAAATGTTTTAATACGAAAAATGCAACTGTATCAGTATACATGAATAAACAAAAAATTGAAAACAAAAACCATAAAATTTCAATTCAAATCAAATCTTTATTACATGAAAACTTAATTAATTTAGACAATATAATTATCTTTCTTTTATAAGATCTGATACTCGTTTTTTACTTACTTTGCAGAAATATCACAGGTATTGTTAAACCACTTCAATAACATCACAGACTTAATAGTAAGGTTGGCGTAGGTGTCAAGAAATACCTCCTGAACAAGGTTGAATAAAAATACAGTAAATCAGGATAAAAATTTCATTAGTTCAGTTTAACCTTGAACATCGGAGATATCGAAATTTTTTTTTAAATGTCGTTTTCTAACCCTACTGATAATGGAATGCCGCAGTTATTTATTTTATAAATAATTATAATTTTTTTAAAAACCTTTTATTTAACGTAAAAGTACCCAGGATTCAATCCTGTGAAAAGGATAGTGTTTGCTCGAAAAAGCACATCTCGATCGTTAGTGCTATGGTCGGCACCTCCCGGCTCATCATGGCTCAATCAAAGAAACACTCAGAAGACTTTCAATACTTTCCTAAAATAGGTTTCACGTGTCTCATACTTCATATGGAATATATAATCTGAGAAAAACCAAAATTCAAAATATAAGCTATCAAAAAAAAAAAAAAAAAACAATTTTGTAAAAATTAAATCATAAATGAGCCAGTACTTTGCCATGAAACACCTGGAAACTCAATATTCATTAAATTCTCGATTGCTTCCAGATGGGTAAAAAATACATCATGAATGGTTGAAACAGATCCACTTAAACAAATTGCATTAATTTTTTTCCTCCAAAGTCCAAAAAAGTTGTATGGAACTCTTAATAACTGTTCCTGCATATTTTGTACACATTTCTTTTCATCTACCTTTTCGATGTTGCCGAAGTTCTGGGTTTAACTACATATTAACTGCAGTATGCTTTATTCCAAAAGAAATTGGGCCTTTGCCCAAACTCAGATTTTAAAAACCCCTATATCTATACAGAACTTGCATATCTTAGATATCTCAAACTAGGATTTCTGTTAGATCAATTAATCTGAGTTTGAAATATCAAAGGTTTATACTATCAGTTTGCAAATTTGAATCCTAATGTTTTTGAAACCTCATCTAGTAGTTGTTCTGAGTTACTGGTTAATAACTATGGCCCCTACATGTTCAGATTAAAATACAATATTTGCCCCAAGTACAATTCCTTCTGGAAAGTCATCAGCATTCTCTCAGAGCCAGAAATTTAAGAGAGTATCGTTGAACGAAACTCCCGAGTTTTCTTTGTGGGGTTAATGTATTTGCGTCGATTTTAATTTACGAAATCAAAAAATAATGTAAACAAACCTCAAAAAATAATGTAAACAAACCACAGAAAATAATGTTTCTTCTCAAAAATATTGGTATCTACAAAATTGCCTGACCCAATTCTTGAAACCGGGATTACGTTACTGGGTTTTATTACAATATTCTGCCTTAAGTTTCGGGCTCCGAGTTTACAGCAATGTCCAAACCTGAATAATATCCTGATGAAGACGAGCTTCTTGTTCTATCTCCTCCTGGTATGTTCTGTTCTCCCCTTGTCCAACCAGGAACACAACCTTCACGTTCTTCATCGTATTCGCCTCCAGTCCCCAGGAACCCCTGGAGAAACAAGTTTATCAACTTGGTTGGATTAACTGCGAAACTGAACCATGGTACACATAGATCCAGAATTGCAGTTTTCAAGACTGGAACGACTTGTGTTGCTAACCCCCTTTCCCTAAGATATCTCAATTTTGTACTATTATTTTTTGAAACGATAAAGCACTTTATTTTAGCTTTCGTTTTTTTAAGAATAAATTTCCAAAATTATCAACGATTTTGGCGTGAGAGCTTTCAACTTTTGGATTACTGTGAGTATGTTTGTGGTGGTCTCGGGAATCCATTATTAAGGTCCTTTTATAATATTTTTGAATATTATATTATATATATATATATTGTACATTACAAATTGGATTGTTTCAATAAAATAATGCCCCATAATATAGCAAAAATGGATTATTGTCATGTTCAAAGCTATGTTTAATAGAAGGATAGATTTTTTAACCAAAAACAGTAAATGAAAGTGTAGATTCATTAGTCTCTCCTTTTAGGTTAGTTTTTTCTTCTTTAACTTGTCAGATGTGAACGGGGAGGGGGAGGGGGGTTCTAGCCAATGATAACAGACCAATATCAACAGCGCCTATCTTGGGTATTTTCTCAGAAATAAAACATCTTTGGGAGAGTTTTTAGACCCCTCCCAATGTTCTTAAGAATCAGCTTTTTATCTTGGTAGCTTCTCTGATCTTGATTTTACGCAGAAGTATGAGATTGCAGTTCTAGCATCTATATTCTGTAGTCCACTACACACTATTATAAGAAGATATTCAAAAATTGCAGTTCTAGCATCTATATTCTGTAGTCCACTACACACTATAATAAGAAGATATTCAAAAATTGCAGTTCTAGCATCTATATTCTGTAGTCCACTACACACTATTATAAGAAGATATTCACCTAATTGCAGTTCTAGCATCTATATTCTGTAGTCCACTACCCACTATTATAAGAAGATATTCACCTAATTGCAGTTCTAGCATCTATATTCTGTAGTCCACTACACACTATTATCAGAAGATATGGAAATGAAGTGGGATCAGAACTGTTACAGATCTAAATAAATCAGGATTTTTCGAAATTAAGGATTAAACAATAAACATCTTTAAAAAATATGAAAAAAAATAAAAATAAGATGTTTGAGTGCTGGGACAATCACGATTTTGATGGCTCTGTATTAAAATTTGTATAACCTTAGGTTGAATAATGGTAGATATGGTTGAAGGATGAATATATGCACTTGTATCTCGGGTTTGATTAGTTGGCCAAACATAGGCTAAAGGACCCTGAGAACCATTTTCAATTTTAATGGTGGATATTTTTATCACGTTTTTTGTGGATTTTCCATAATTAATGTCGTTTGTAGTTGTAGAGCTTCCATAATTAATATCGTTTGTAGTTGTAGAGTTTCCATAATTAATGTCGTATTTAGTTGTAGATTGTCCATAACCAATGTTGTTAGTAGATTTTTCATTATAAACATTGTCTGTAGTTGTGGAATTTCCATAATTAATTATGTTTGTTTGTTCCGATTGATTGCTTGACATTAGTTCCGATTGATTGCTTGACATTAGTTCCGATTGATTGCTTGACATTAGTTCTGATTGATTGCTTGATATCAGTTCTGATTGATTGCTTGATTCTTGTTTAGAAAGGTAGCTTGATGTATGATCAATTTGGTTGAGCGTTGTTTGATCAGAGCTCTTATTTTCAGCTTGTTTGATCATTGTTTGATCAGAGCTCTTATTTTCAGCTTGTTTGATCACTGTTTGATCGGAGCTTGATGCTCCTGTTTGATTTATGATTTTTTGTCCAATTTGATCGATGATTGACCCATTCTGGTCGTTTATGTTTTGGTGGAATATTTGTTCATCAGAATGTATAGTTTGTTCAATGTCCAAAGTTATGTTTATGTTGAAATGTTGATAATTTTGATGATGCATCATCAAAAATTGCTGTTCAGTCAGAATATTCAATATTAAAATTAAGTATTGTAAATGTATATTGTATGTAATGTATTGTATAGCTATAGTGCATGCAGTGGGGAACACAAAAATATGCATAAATTCCACTTTAATTTATATAATATGTTTATTATCTTAAAAAAAAATAAAGGGAAAAGGAACAGAATTTTTGCTATAAACTCAAATTTTCGAGTCCCTATATCTTTGCAACCTGACGACGTAACCCTTTGATTTTTCAAACTTAGTAGTTTGATACATCAAATGTTTATGACAGTGGGTTGCTAAGATGAAAGGGTTTGAAAATCAGAGTATGTGACAAGAACTTAATCCCATTAGTTAATGCAAAAGAATTTTATAAGAATGCAATTAGATAAAAGATTCTAAATATTGAAAATTATTTGATAAACTAGTATTTTCAATGGCGTCAGGGAATTACACGTAATTTAAATTTGTGTACTTTAAGCATCTCATCTTGACATAAACTCAAAAGATATGAAGGAATAAGGAAAAATGAATAATATTGGACGATTTTAATGATTTTCTCAAGTTGATAAATACCAGCTTTGCAAAATTTGATTTTTCTAAAAAATATATGAAAAATCCATGTCTATCAATCTTTTATCAGCAATTGAAAGAATTAGAAATATTTATGAACAATTTAGCAACGAAACAAAGAAGATTTCAATTGCAGGGAATCTTGAATTTATGGAAAAATTCAGAAATCTCATTCTTTGTGGGTTACCCTGTAAGGAATAGTAACAATCAACTTGGAAAATCAAACGCATAAGAGTCCAATAACCTCTTTCATCAAAAAAGTGTCTTGTTTATTGTTGAAACTAAAATAAAAGAATATTCTGATATTGAATTTGGTTCCCTTGTGTTTAACTGATAAAGAAGATATCCAGCTGATCATGAATATAAAGGTTAGGACGCATAATCCTAGGAGTAGTTTAGGATATCTTTTCCCTGGACCTAACTCCAGGGGGTTCGGAACATTAGATCTACTCTTCCTCCGAACCTGAAAAAATAGTATCAGCTATTAGCACTTTAATAACACACCAAACCACATTAAAGCTATCTTTATCTATCTAATCAGGGGCGTACGCCGACGGTGGTTTAACTTAGGAGGGGGGGGGGGTGAACTCTTTTTGTGGTTCACCCCCTAGCGGTCGTTGTTCTCCCCTTTAAGAAACATGTTTAAAGGGAGAAACCGACTAGAAAAAAATTTTAAACCGAGAAAAATGTTGCCTAGCCGGTCTCCCCCTTTGAGGTAAATTGTAAATATGATTAAGATCTAATTGAAAGAATTTGAAAATTTGTCATAAAATGGAAAAATTGTCATTTGATAAGAAAAAAATTACATAATAGGGGGCACAGTGCACACAGGGGGTTCCACCCCCCCCCCCACCTTATTCGCCCCTGATCTACATCATGAAACAAAAATGTAAACTTTTTGATATTTGATATTGATAAAACTTAAGAAGATTTAGAAATTTTTGAAAAATCATGATATATTACAAAGAAGTCACTAGTTGTTAGTTAATTAAGCCACACAGAAAACATTGTTATCACCAAAAACAAATATACATTATACATGATCTTAAAATGAATGAAAACGTAAAACTTAAAAGATACTATTAAGCTAAAACTAATTGTAATTATTAACAAGAAACTAAAGGAAAAGAAGAATTGATTATGAAAAATGAAGAAGGAAGAGAAGAAGATTATGGACAGGACCTGGGATATGGAAGAGGAAAAGGGGAAAGAAAAAAAGAAGATTATGAATAGGACCTGAGATATGGAAGAGGAACAGGGGAAAGAAAAAAAGAAGATTATGAACAGGACCTGGGATATGGAAGAAGAGCAGGGGAAAGAGAAGATTATGATCAGTACCTGGGATATGGAAGAGGAACAGGGGAAAGAAAAAAAGATTATGAAAAGGACCTGGGATATGGAAAAGGAACAGGGGAAAGAGAAGATTATGATCAGGACCTGGGATATGGAAGAGGATCAGGGGAAAGAAAAAAAGAAGATTATGATCAGTACCTGGGATATGGAAAAGGAACAGGGGAAAGAAAAAAAGAAGATTATGAACAGGACCTGGGATATGGAAAAGGAACAGGGGAAAGAGAATAAGAAGATTATGAATAGGACCAGGGATATGGAAAAGGAACAGGGGAAAGAGAATAAGAAGAATATGGACAGGACCTGGGATATAGAAAAGGAACAGGGGAAAGAGAATAAGAAGATTATGAATAGGACCTGGGATATGGAAGAGGAACAGGGGAAAGAGAAAAAGTAATGTTACTTACCGAACCGTTTTGTAAATGCTCCATGATTAAGTTAGAGTAAGGAGAAGAAAGATTGAACCTGTGTATCTAGGTTCACTAAACTAACTAGGCTCGACTCCAGGTTCTGTTCCATGGTTCCTAGTTAAGAATAGTTGTTTCTCTAGGAGTAATAATACCACTTAAACCGTAGAAAACATGAACTGGATTTGATCTAGAATACGAGGATGAGTTTCCAGTAGTTCTGTGTCAACCCTGATATAGGAACCTGAATTCTCTACTGATGCAGATGAGAAATAGAATTAAATTGAGAATGCGGTTTACAGATAACAGAGAATAATGTTGAGATATCAGCTGTAGCTATCTTTTTTACTAAAAATTAAACAATGTGTTTAAAGCGTGTATTTTTTATTCTATTGAAGTTATTTTGCGTCAATGCCTTACGTTTAAAGGGACTGTACAGTGTACACACTGTTTGAAGATGACGCTACAATTTTACAAGTACTTAATCATGCACTTATTGCCTAGAACAAACAAATTGTTTATCTTGGAAATATAAACGATTCGTTTCATCCTGTTTAAAAACTGTGGACGTAATTTCAATTGACCTCAAATTTTAGAGTGGAATGTCTGTCTACCAATGATACCCTTTATACGTTTGATCGATTAATACTGAAGAGATAGCCTTTTTTCTAGATGAAAATGAAGTTCCGGTAAACTGGAGTGTACAACTACACAATACACATCTCCGTCAGACCAACGTTTTAAAGGGTATTGTTGTGATTTAAAAATAAAGGGTCAAATTAAATTACGTCAACAGCATGTAAATAATCTGAGTACAGTCAGAGAAAACAGTAGTTTTTCTAGATGTTTTCAAACAAAAGAAAATAGAGCTTCTAGAAGTGGCCATTCGATATCACGAAGTTACTTGACCTTAATATTTTAAAGATAATGTCTATGTAAATAGTGTACAGTTTAATACAAGGTTGGCTAAAATTCCTAGATTTCAAAACTATTTTTCTAACACGATAAAAACAAATTGGGATCAAAAGCTTGGGGTTGTGGAAAAAGCAAAAAAGAAGTTATAATCTCAGCCTGAATTGAATACTATATTAGCAATAGAAATTTTAAAATCATTGAAATTGAAATTAAAATTGCAACGACAACGACAACGACAACTACAACGACAACGACAACGACAACGACAACGACAACGACAAGATGCTAATGATGCTAATGATGCTAACGATGCTAACGATGCTAATGATGCTAACGATGCTAACGATGCTAACGATGCTAACGATGCTAACGATGCTAACGATGCTAACGATGCTAACGATGCTAACGATGCTAACGATGCTAACGATGCTAACGATGCTAACGATGATAACGATGATAACGATGATAACGATGATAACGATGATAACGATGATAACGATGATAACGATGATAACGATGATAACGATGATTACGATGATTACGATGATTACGATGATTACGATGATTACGATGATTACGATGATTACGATGATTACGATGATTTTGATGATTTTGATGATTTTGATGATTTTGATGATTATGATGATTATGATGATTATGATGATTATGATGATTATGATGAAAATGATGATAATGATGATATTGATGATATTGATGATAATGATGATCATGATGATGATAATGATGCTAATGATGCTAATGATGCTAATGATGCTATTGATGATATTGATGATCATGATGATCATGATGATCATGATGATCATGATGATCATGATGATCATGATGATCATGATGATCATGATGATAATGATGATAATGATGATAATGATGATAATGATGATCATAATAATAATGATAACAATGCAAGACTGACACATAATCTGAATATAATACCTTCCAATGTGCAGAGGAGGGAAAGGATCAAACCATGATTTCTGAAAATAAATATAATCTTCAATATCTTGTTACTTTACATTATCACATTCAAATTCAATATCCGGCTAATAAGCATGCAAACAAAATTATTTTAAAAAATTATGAAAATTAGCTTAAATACGTAGATTAGGCATTTGATTAAACGCATTAAAAAATCAAAAGTTCATCACATTTATATGTACTTTTTGTCACACAAACAATTTCATTATTTCTTCAATTCAATAATAAGTTCATTTACAAAACATTTTAATATTTCACAGTCTTCTATTTTTCTCACAACCATCGTTAAGTTTGGAAGCAAATGATAACGAACAAGGCAAGGCACAACTGATTTACAAACTATGATCGAAACTGTTCAGTCTAAACAGATAATCTCTTCGTCGATTAAACAATCTTCTATTACTGGATTAGATTTAGGTAATCCTGATCTTCTTCGGGACACAGGCCTGGAGCTGGAGCTTGGACCTGACGTGGAGCTGATCAATGCATACCTGGAGTCAGCTCCAGAACTTCTTATGTTATCATTCTCTAAATTCTTTCCCGCGCTTCTTCCAGATTCAGATCTGTAGTGATTTGGTTCATTTCTCCTGGATTCGGAGTTGGAACTGGTCGGATATTCTGTTCTCTTTCCAATTTTAGATCTCAGGTCTCTAATCTCTCTACTCTTTCTGGATTTAGTTCTCAAGTCAGATACGGTTCTTACTCCAGATATAGACCTGGAATCAGATTCTATTCTTATTTCAAAATCCGACCTTGAGAATATTTCTGATCTCTTTTCAGATTCAAATTTGTAGTTAGAGTCTGGTTCTCTGACAGATTTAGTGTTGGAGGTTGGTTGAGCTGTTGAACCTGGTGATGAAGCTCCTGTCTCCCCTGGGGATTGTGTTGTATATATCCAGAGTAGGATATTAACCACCAGCTCAGTGGGGATAAAGTCATCGGAGAACATCTGATAATCGTCCTACAAATAACATAATATCATTAAATCAGACTATCAGGAACATCTCTTTCTATCTCCCTATTTTGATGTGATTTTCTAATCTGGGGGGGCTTTCTTTTGTTAAATACAGCGGTTCTCAGTGGACAATGCACTTATTTGTTTAACAATCTATTTTTTTGTTGTTTAACAATCTTCATTACATTTAAGCGGTATAGTTACTCAATACTCAATCATAATTCAATCCTTTTATATTATTTTTAAAATAAATGTAGTAAAGCATCTACAAGAAGATGACACAAGAAATTTAATTCCAAAATGTAGTTAAAATAAAATAATGTTCCACAAACATAAGACATACAGGGTGAGTCAAAAAAAAGTGTGATTTGCGGCGCCTGGTGCAAAATTGTACCTTTTTTTGTGAAACTCTCCTGTATGATGGTTTTTCAATTTTTAAAAAAAATTTGTAATTTTTTTTTGGTACTCCAATGGCTTAAAAGAAAATCCGTGAACCTTTTTTTCTCTCAAAATCAAAAGTTCAGAAAAGCAAAAATGTATACATTAATTATTTCTATCGAAATCTATAATTTTATAAAGATTGAATCACAGAATCACAGAAAATTCGCAAAATTGTAATAAGAAAATTCGCAATTTTTAGTTCTGGTCTAGTTTTTAAGGAAAAGTTATTTAAATTATCTAGTTCCTATCTTCTTAGTATATTCTAAAGTATTAAATATACGCTGTTCATTTGAAACCTTAAGAACCATTGAACAACTATTTTTCCGTAAAAATTATACCAGAACTCAAAATTGCGAATTTTTTATTACAATTTTGCAAATTTTCTGAGGAGGTTCTGTGATTCAATCTTTTTAATATTTTAGATTTCGATAGAAACAATTAATTTACACATTTTTGTTTTTCTGAACTTTTGATTTTAAGAGAAAAAAAGGTTCGCGGATTTTTTTTGGGGTCATTGAAGTACCAAAAAAAATTAAAAATGTTAAAAAAATATTGAAAAAAACACCATACAGGAGAGTTGCACAAAAAAAGGTACAATTTTGCAACAGGCGCCGCAAATCACAATTTTTTTGACTCACCCTGTAGATATTTAAAGAATTGTTAATATAATCTTCTATAAAGGGATTGTAGATGTTTTCTTACGTGTCTCTCTTATTGTAGTGTGGCATGACCGATTCACAAACGGTACGCTGGAGTCGTTTTCTCAACAAGAATACACAAGATATCTATTATTTTTACTTTAAAAGTGATTATTTTCAATTTTTATTCTAGAAAAAGCGACGAATTATTGATTAGATAAAGGTTTAAAGGGTACCGTTGTGAATTGGCATTTCCCCTCTTTAATAGAGTCACTTGAAATAAAGTTCTAATAATTAATTGACTGACCTGAAAAATGAGAGCCCAGTCCTTTAACCCACGGGTTTCATCGTAGTTATCCCTAATCATGTTCAGCAACGGATTTATCGAATCCAATTCCATCGCGGAGGCGAGATGACAGATAATATTATCACACCGTTCACTGCAAATATCACCGTTCTTCATTTCAAAATAGGCACGGACAAAATTCTCAAAGTTTGGATAGAGCATTAGACAGCGGAACCTTGACGAATCAAACTCATTAGATTGAATCTCAATATCGGAGTCATTATTAACCTTATACTTGGGACTCGACTCACTGTATTCAGGCTCGGCGGAAACCTGGATGTTCTCCAACTCATCTGTTTTGTCCGGAAACGAAAACCACTCTTTCTGGGGGTAAATTATTATATCTGGAGAGGAACCCCTGTTGACTGAAGAGAAAACAGATTTCTCTAGAGGATGAATTCGATTCTCCGAAGGGACGTAAGCAGATTTTGATGTTGTTAGAACAACGATATCTTCGTCCTCTGAAGAACTTGATACAATGTATGGAGGAGAGGACGGATCTGGATACTCGGTCAGGTTTTCAGCTTTCTCTGTTGGATTCAACTCCATCCGGTTTTCAGCTTGCTCTGTTGAATTCAATTCAATATTTAGGTTTGACGACATAATTTTGTAATTTGAGTTCTTCTGTTTGTCCAAAGGGGATTGTATATTCATCTCATTGCTGGAGTTAATTTCTAAATTGGAGCTTTGTTTGGAATTTTTTACGTTTTTAGACCTAGTCTTGATTCTATGAATATCCTCGATAGAGTTAACCGGAGCTATATGTTCTGTAAGATCAACCCCCTTCGGAGAGAACAAGTTCTCCAACCTGACAGAACGGAGATGAAGGTCGTGAAAAACCTGAAAAAATTAATAATTCAAACTTTAAAAATGAAGAAAAAATGTATGACATACCTCATGTGGAATGTGAAGAAGAATTGCGGGATCAGTATCTTTCTGTTGATCTGTTAATAACCAGGCAAGATCCACTGCTCCAGATATAAGATGAGTATTATCCGTCTCTTTACTCACAAACAGTTTGAGAAGAGTGTGAATATTTCTTCCAACCAAGATATTCCTTGAACCAGACCAGTGCTGTCCCAGTATATGGAGAACTTTAGATTTAGTTTCACACAGTAGAGGGGACACGTCCGTAGATGATTGGTATAAAACCATGTCATTCAAGAATCTGTATCCTTTCTTACTTTTTAGCTTCATTAAACCATCCAGGATTGGGTTAGGACAGGAACGCCAAGGATGAGCTTCCTTACAAATCCAACAGATGGGGTTCTTACAACTTCTCCGGGTATGTGGGGGTTTGTAGGGACAGGAACAAGATCTAAAATGGCGAAAATCTTGTTAAATAATGAACTACATAATTCATGCTTTGAGGAACGGTCGTTGTAATTTCAAGTGACCTTTCATTTCAAAAGAGGGACATGACCGATTCACAACGGTACCATTTCTACATTCGGTAATGGTGATGGACCAAACCTCTGTAGAGTAAAAAAAGTAGATGTTAGTTCCACATTGATTGAAAATATATTTCGGTCTGGGTAGACCCTCGTAAGTTCTTGAGATTGTTTCTGTCACAAGATTAAAAACAAAACATTTATCTGATCAATAATGTGGAAGTATCCTACATTTAATTCCAACAATTTTAGCCATATTGTAATGAGCAAGTCCATTTAAAGAGAAACCACAATTGAAAATAATAAACTTTTACATAAAAAACGATTGATATATCGTGCATTTTTGCTCAGATAGAGGATTAAAGGGTACCGTTGTGAATCATTCACACACCTCTATAAATGGATCGTCAATTGTAAAATTGCGTCTGAAGTCCCTTTATATAAACTTACTCCAAAGCTGGACATTGCATTGTTGAGTGAAGAGCAGTATTGGATTGACAAGTTTCACAGAGAATTAAGTTGGGACGAACTCCTAGTCTTAACTCAGGTTTACCAAGAACCAGAGACCGGAACAAAACTTGCATAAACCAACCACCGTGATATTCAAATGTTGCCAGGATCACATCATCGTACTTCGTCCCATCAAACTTGAAAACAGAACTGTTCTCTATCCTAACAGCAGGAACGGGAGCTCTACTAACCGTATCCGGTTGTGGTAAAACAACAGAAGCTTGTAATCTGGGTGCAAGTCTTTTTTGTGTTTGAGGCACTTTTTCTAATGTAGTCAAGAGGGCTTGTTGTTGTATCATTAGTGGGGTTGTTTCCTGTGCCTGTGGTGCAAAGGAGGAAGCAGAGGAAATCTTTTGTGGTATAGTTAAGGGTATTTGTTCTAATTTATACAAGGATAATTCCTTATTTCTTGGGAAATCCTTAGTCACGGTCTGCCTGTTATCATCATTGAGAGTTTCATCAGGGCCTGTGCTCTGAGCATTGTGAATCCTATTAACTTCCTCCTGGAATACTCCCTCGATAGAATTTCCTAACTTCTCATTCAAGTTCAATCTGTCTCTAGATATACTACTTACAATATCATCCTGCTTGTCAGTAGGTTTCCTCTCCAGTCCTAGAACGATCCCAGCAGTTGAGCTGAAAATACCGCCCTGAACCTGAAGATGGGGAATGCTCCGGGGTATTCCAATCCTATCTGGTGGCAGCTGAAGAATCCCGATCACTCCATTGGTAAACTTCACTTCAGTTTCAAGGTTTGAACAGTTCTCAAAGATAATTGTAACATGTTCCAGAAGTACAGGATGCTGCTCAAATTGAACATTCATATCACTAGAAATATTGAACACTGGAATCAGACAAAATCCGACTAAACGCAGAGGAGGGATACAGCCAAAATGAATTTGACAAGCCAATGGCTTCTTCGAATAAGCAGCAACCTCAAAACTAGATCTAATAGTTCGAACCTGAAAGGCTTGAGGCTTCTCCTTACAGAACTTGACCACAGTCATAGGTTTGGCGAAGTTACTAAGCTTCTCTTTGTGAGATGTGCATAATTCAATAATGGTGCTCAAATCGGAATTAGACTCTTTCTCTTGAATATCTTCAATACTTGGGAAATGATATATTTGTTTCTTCACCAAGTCCACAACTTGAAGAAGTGCTGTAAAGGTTGTGTAGAAGGATTTAGTGAGATCATGTCTGTCCAGAGCAGAGAGCAGAGGAGGTAGAGATAGATAGGAGTTGAAGAGAACAAGAGAACAACCATTTGTGCTCAAGTCATGAACAAAACTGAACAGAATTCTAAGCGCGGTTTCTTCAGGCACAACCTGAAAAGACCTCTCTGCATGAATGCATATATTCTTATTTTTCTTGTACTTTTCCCCGAATACTATTGATGGATCTACACCTGGTATCTGAACGGGCAGAAACAAATTATGATTAGTTCCAAAATTGTTTGATAAACACGCATCCACGGCAGCTAGGTAGTACTCGCCATTGACCTCCATGTACCTGATGTTCAAGAAGCAGATGTGTCCAGGGAGAACAGGGAGAATAGAGATCATATTCCGAGTTTCAATTTTTAAACAATTCAGCTCAAGAAAATCCTCCTCTCTTGAAACATTATTGATATATTCCTTCAAAATAAACTGACTCTTTATAGTTTTATCTATTGTATATTTTGGTGACCATATATGTTCAATTATATGCTTACTTTCTTCCTCTAAGCAATCCGCTATATCCAACAGAAAATCAGGCATCTTACAAGCTAGGTTCAAGCCAAGCCGATGGTTTTCCATAACTCCGATATGAGAGACATAAACTTCCACTTTTCTTTCCATATTACAACCCTCGACAAGCTTCTGAAACACTCTGGCCTCGTCCCAGTTTTTAAAAACGAGAATATTATCCTTACATCGTTTAGAAAAACTACTCACAAGATTCTTGATTACAGAGATGGGTTTAGCATTTACACTATCAATGATGATTTTACCATTGTGATGTGCAACAAAATCCTCTACTTCTAAACCAGCTTGTCTTAGGGTATGTGTATCCAAATGGGAGGGTAGAACAGCTCCGTCGAAAATCTCATCCTTGTGAGTCATAGAGATCTTGAGCGGAATTCTCTGTAATCCCTCCGTAGCTGAATATTCGTCTAGTGTAAGGAGACCTATTGACCAGAAATTAAAACCTGATTTATTTACCCTGGATTTATCTCCATCCACATGGCTCCAAATTATTCTTTCTGCTTCATTTTCAATGTTGAGATGCTTTATGATCTCAAAAGCTGTGAATGCATAAAATGCTTCAGCAAACTTGGCAACAAATATTTTATAGCTTAATCTGGTTTTGTTCTCTACTATTTGTGTTTTGGACGGTATTTTCGTAATAATTTTGAAAATATACTTTGCCATGGATTCAGAAGTAAAGAATATTGTGACTTTGTTTGAATACATTGGGATGTAATCAAGATCTTCGAAAACATCTTTATTTTCCTGGTCATCGCCAGCTTTGTTTCCCGAGTCTTTGTGAACAATTGTTGAACTTGAATTCTCCTTAACAGGTTCTGATTCAATATTGTTTTCATCGCCATTTTCATCTTCACCCAAGATCTAAATAAAAAAAATAAAAAAATCTAAGTTTTTTTTCTCAAATTTTCTTCTTTTAAATAAAATTGAAAGGGGTCACAACAAAATGTATAAAAAACCTGAAACTTTTCTGGAATGTTTTCGTCCAATAGTGGAGTGGTAGACTCTCTTTCAGTAACAGGCAATGTGTCCTGCTCAGAAGGAAATGTTTTACCATATAAATCAGAGTTAACCAGGTTTAAACGTATTTTAGTCCGTTGCTGGGAGAAACTATCAACCAGAGATGTTTCCGATAAAGTTGATTCCGGGATAGGGGTACTCAGACTTTTAATAGGATACATGACTTGGTTGTCATATAGAGACGGATTAACATCTGAATACTCGGGATAAGCTGTTGGAAAAGATTCAGCTTCTAGGTGAGACTGGCTGAGATCTGTTTGGAGGAGAATAGGAAGTGTACTGGTTGAGAAACTGGATTGTGCAGGGAAAACTGTTGAACCACATATCTGCTCAGATTGAATCCAGCTCGATTGTGGTTCTTGAACCAGTATACTGCTCAGATGTGGAACGGTTTGATGGCTTAGAGGTGGAATGGTTTGATGGCTTAGAGGTGGAATGGTTTGATGGCTTAGAGGTGGAATGGTTTGATGGCTTAGAGGTGGAATGGTTTGATGGCTCGGAGGTGGCAAGGTGAGATGGCTCGGAGGTGGCACAGTGAGGTGGTTCGGAGGTGGCACAGTGAGGTGGCTCGGAGGTGGCACAGTGAGGTGGTTCGGAGGTGGCACAGTTTGATTATCAGGAAAACTAGGAGAAGGATAAACTTGATTTGAAAGCAGGGAGGGGTTGCCAGGATTTTGGGTCTGAATTGTTGGATTAGATTGCAGTGGTGCGTTCAGAATCGAATACCATTCACTGGAAAAAAAAGGATATTAAAGAGTTAGCATTGGTTATGATAGAAAGTATTAAACTGGAACGAATAAAATTATTAAAAATTATTTTCAGATTATGTTTATCAAGTTTCAGTCGAATAAAATTATTAAAAAGGATTTTAAGATTATGTTTATCAAGTTTCAGTCGAATAAAATTATTAAAAAGGATTTTCAGATTATGTTTATCAAGTTTCAGTCGAATAAAATTATTAAAAAGGATTTTCAGATTATGTTTATCAAGTTTCAGTACCAAAGGCATGCAACTCTGAACATCCTAAACTCCAGGACAAGATCTATTCATATCACCTGTAGCATGTTTGCCTTTGATCCCTAGATTTTGGCGAGGGTTCAGCGTTCTTTCTTGGCCGATCTCGATAAGGACTAGATCTTGATCTTCGGCGAATTAATGATCTGGATCTGGGGCGTCGCCTTGATTTTGATCTTGATCTTGATCTTCGGGACCGTTGTCCGCTCGAAGAAATCCGCGACCTCAAATCAGTTTTGGGATTTTGACGGGAGGCTGGACTTGGTCTAGAGGATTTACGTTTGGCTGCACTAGTTCTACGGGATTTTCGAAGGGCTGGACTAAATTTACGGGACCTTCGAGGGGCTGGACTCGAACTAGGAGATTTACGAGGGGCTGGACTAGATCTAGGGGATTTATGAGGGGCTGAACTGGATCTAGGAGATTCACGAGGGACTGGACTGGGCCTGGTGGATTTTCGAGAGGCAGGACTGGATCTGGGGGAATGACGAGAAGATGATCTAGATCTAGAGGTTCTGCGATGATAAGTTTTAAATTTTGGGCTGCGGCATAATTTCTCACCATCCGTTCCGTGAGCATTAAGAGGAGACTGTTGTGATCTTTTACTGGTCGCAGCAGATTTCATGATTTTAAAACTTACTAAAGACGAACTTTCTTCTACTATAGGTTCGGAGACGTGTTTTTTCTGTAACAGGGAGTATGAGGTGTAAATCAATGAAGCACCTGAACAAGATTTACTTGATTCTTCGGTTTTCTCCCCCGATCCTCCGGGTTTCTGCCCTAATTCGCTAGGTTTTTGTCCCGATTCTTCAGGTTTCTGCCCTGATTCTCCGGGTTTCTGCGCAGATTCTCCAGTTTTCTGCCCTGATTCTCCAGGTTTGTCCCCTGATTCTCCAGGTTTGTCCCCTGATTCTCTAGGTTTCTGTCTTGATTCTCTGGGTTTCTGCCCTGAATCTTCGGCAGTTTCATCTAAACAAACTATCTCATCCGAACCTTTCTCTGTCCCGATCTTATGACGACTCTTCTCAATTTTCTTCTTCTTTTTACTTTTTTGCTTTTCCTTCAGTTGATCCAACTTCTCATTTATCTGTAATCAAATTATTGTTCTGTTGTTAAAAAATAACTATTTTACTACAGATTGAAAGAATTCGATTTCTATGAACTTGAAATGATTAATATCATCATCAGGTTGAAAATATATTTGGATTATCATAATTATTAAAGAAAATCCCATCAATCAGATAAATCGGGGTTGGTTAAGAATAGGCAAGTGACTAGTTAATTTAAAACTCAATCCTTTATTAAAGAAAGTTTCTGCAACAAATAGAAAAATATGATTAAATGGAACGTAAGCCTAATTTCAAGTAACCCGCTATGCACAGAGGGAAATGTCCAATTTACAACAGTACCCTTTGAACTATGACAGATTATCTCTAAAATATTGTTCAACGTGCCGGAAAACTGGAGTAAATATGCTAGCGTACAGTGTGAGCAGCTGAAAATACATATATTCTTCCAAAATCCCGAATATGTCCAAAGCAGTTTTCAAATATTTATTTTCTACGCCTTTTAGAAAGTAAATATTAATATTTCTTAATAAAACAGCTTGCAAAAAATGTGTTATACTCTTGCAAGCGTTTCTGCTGATAAACAAGGATATGTCCGCCATCTGGATCAGTCCGATACAGGGGCGCAAATAAGGATTTTCTAGGAAGGGGGGGGATAAATTTTAACATTTTGCGCACGTAGCTCGCCGATTATTTTCTTACCCCCCCCCCCCCTAGACCATGTACAACCCCATTCATGATTTATATCAAATTATGGGTTTTAGCTGAGTTTCATTTCAATTTCCCGACCATTTCTGGGATTAACGAACTCTATCAAATAAAAGGCTACTTTTACCACCTTCCAGCTTTCACCTGACTTAATTTATACCCTAATAAAGGTTGTTCATTATAAATTGAGACTCTTTAAACAGCTTACAAAATAGCAGATCCATCAATACGAAAAATTCGCGATGATCAGCTATCTCCTATTTCATTTGCTAACATTTTCTCTTTGAATACATTGTAAAGCAAAAATAAAAAATTTGCGGATTTTATAAAAAATTTCGTGGATTTTCAAAATTATAAAAAATCGAGTTTCGTTAAAAGCAAATCTATATATAAATTTAGCTTGTCTGTTTGTCTGTTTGTCTGTCTGTTTGTATCCAATAAACGTCAAAACGGCTAAACCGATCGGGCCCAAATTTTTTGTGGGACATCTAGGGACTCCAGGGAAGGTTTATGAATCATCAAAATTTCAAATATTTGTCTCCATCAAAATTCGATCGTCATTAAATTTTTTAAAATTTTGAAAATCCGCGAATTTTTTTGTGAAAATCCGCGAATTATTTTTGTTTTGTTTTACGATGTACACAAAGAGAACATGTTCACAATTAATTTAGGAGATGGGCGCGAAGCGCCCTCTAAGGCTAGAAAGAAGGGCGCAAAGCGCCTTGAATTTCTAGTCTATATATAAATTTGGATTGTCTGTCTTTCTGTTTGTTTGTATCCAATAAACGTCAAAACGGCTGAACCGATCGGGCCCAAATTTTTTGTGGGACATCTAGGGACCCCAGGGAAGGTTTATGAATGATTAAAATTTTAAATATTTGTCTCAATCAAAATTCGATCTTCATAAAATTTTTTAAAATTTTGAAAATCCACGAAATTTTTTGTGAAAACAGAGCAGAGCTGAAAACTTTAGAATGATGGATATCGGGATTAAGGCTTAATCCACTCTTTTTCTTAATCTCGAGATTAAATATTGCTTGTTCTCCTCTCATTTTTAATCTCCAGATTAATTTTCCGATCAGGATTAAGGATATCCCATTCTAAAGTTTTCAGCTCAGAGCTGAAAACTTTAGAATGGAACATCCTTAATCCTGATCGGTTAATTAATCTGGAGATTAAAAATAAGGGGAGAACAAGCATTATTTAATCTCGAGATTAAGAAAAAGAGTGGATCAAGCATTAATCCCGATATCCACCATTCAAAAGTTCCCAGCTCTGAAAACTTTAGAATGGGATATCCTTAATCCTGATCGGATAATTAATCTGGAGATTAAAAATGAGTGGAGAACAAGCAACATTTAATCTCGAGATTAAGAAAAAGAGTGGATTAAGCCTTAATCCCGATATCCACCATTCTAAAGTTTAATCCTGACTTCTAGATCCGAATATCCACTGTGGAAACTTTTCATTTTAGTCCTTAATCCAATCTTTTTCTCTCTCCTTGGATATCCGTTAATTGTTTTCTCCACTGAGAATATTTCTGTTCTCTCATTGGTTGCCCGTTTTTCTCTGATTGGCTGCTACAGTTTCTCAGATGATTAAATATTAATTTGAATTTTATCGTTTTTCATACACTTTTAAGATAATCTTGCAGGATTATGTTAATCTGGAGATTAAGAAAAAGAGTGGATTAAGCCTTAATCCCGATATCCACCATTCAAAAGTTCCCAGCTCTGAGAACATTGTTCACAATTAATTTAGAAGATGGGCGCGAAGCGCCCTCTACGGCTAGTGTTTTAAATTTCAATCATACTTGAACTTCCCTGAGGTCACGTAAGGTCCCACAAAAATTTAGGCCCGATCTGTTCAGCCGTTTTTACATTTATTGGATACAAACAAACAAATAAACAAGCAAAGTATATATTCATCATAGAGAAGATTAAGGACATAAAAGAGGAGTTGATGAAAATAATTTTGGTAAGTTCTACATCAAAAACAAATCTATGTGACTTTGTTAAAGTTGATTGAGTAAGATTATCTGCGCGAAGCGGCAAATCTTTTATACATTTTTCCTCTTAATTGTAATCATGGACATGTCCACTACTCAGATATTAAGGATACTGTTATGAATGGGACACGCCACTCTAAAAATGGAGGGTCACTTGAATTAAGCCTGCAGTCTATTCAAAGAACTTTATGATTAGAAGAAATTACCTTTTTAAAAAAAATTACAAAATGAAATAAAAAATGTCAAGACATTTTTCATATTTGACAATCTATGCAATAATTTTCCTTGAGGAGAAGGATGCTAGCAAAATTAGTAACATCATCTGAACACTTTGCAATCCCTTCAATATCTGTACTTTTCTTACTTCCTGGTGAGTCAAGGTCTTCATCTGAAGTAGTAGTAGTAGAAGTAGTTGTGCTTTCATCCACTTCTTTATCAGTTGGCGTCTTCCTGTTCAATATTTACAAGTTGAGATAGTAAATACCATGTTGCAATAGATTCAGCATAATGTTAATATTTTGTTTCATAGATTTTTTACCTTTTACCTCTTTAAATATTTTTCAATTTAGAAGAAGATAATTTCGCAGATTTTTCATAACCATGAAAAGAATTATTTCGTTTACTTACCCTGTATTCGGTTTTCTGGGTTTACTTGGTTGTATTTCTAAAATACAAAATGATAAATAGAGTAAAATTTTAATAATCCTTCAGACATTAAAAAAGAACTTACTTTCTAATAATGCTCGGGCCAATGATCGTCTTGATTTTGATGATGATTGTTCAAGATGATTTTCTATTCTTCGACTCAATGACGCGCAGTCACTTGTTGGAGCCACACTACACAAGGTTCGAGGCGACAATGATCTTGTAGGTCGTGGACGGGGTCCAGGTGGTAGGGTATCATCAACTTTTCGTATTTTTCTTCCGGACGAGGTTCCTTCTGATGTCAAAGGATCGGAAGTGTTAAATTTTCTTTTTGCTCGAGAAATCGAACCTGTTGCAAAATCATCGGCATCGTTAACCCGATCACCAGTTTTCCTCGGTTTATGAGATGCAGATTTTTTATTCCGATTTTTTGGAGGTGTGTTATCGTCGGAAGAAATCTTTCCATCAGATGATGACAAACTGGGAGTTGACTCCCGTGACTTCCTACTTTTCTCCTTACATTTCGTTTTAGATTTCGTTTTTGGAATCGCATTTTTAATCTCCTTTTCGCAGACCACGCTCTCATCAGATGATATAATTAGATATTCCGGAGTATCTTGGATATTATTATCCGGGGATTCCGTTTCCGAAAGTCCGTCCGGAGTATGATGGATGATAAGACTTGTATCCGGAGAATTAGAATATCGTCTCGCAGCAGTAGTCTTTCTCTTGGAACCTAGAAGCAGATTTTTTTCTGAGGCAATTTGGCGACTTTTTATAACTATATTTTTCTGAGGGTATATAAAGTTTTTACTCATAATTTGAAGCCCATTTAAAAATATATCACTTTATGTATTGGAAATTTTGTGGGAAGCATGAAAAAAACATTTTAAATAGTATAGACCCAATACCCATGTAAGTACATTCATCAAAAAATGCAACATGTATGATCTATTTAATTCAATAAAAAATCAAAGATTAGTCACCTTTATTGAACAAACCTTTAAATACCAACCTGCAATTGATGTGGTCGGTCTCTCTTCCAAGTTGTTGAACCCAGTTTCATTATCTCTTCTGTCAATATTATGATTGGTGGAGTGATGAATTTTATCACTATTTGGCAGATTTTTGGAGGACATTGGACCAAATTATTGTAGGATTTAATAGGAAATGTTAAAATCATTTGGGAATTCCGGAGGGTTATTTTTAGCCATTTGCCTATTAAATCCGCATTTTTCTGAAAAGACTAGATTTCAGACTTTATCTCGAAAACCAGAACGATTAACATACTTCGTGCATAAAGTGTGCAAATTTGTGTTAAAAAATAAAAATATAATTAAAAATGTTCTAATTTTTTGTACATAATTGAGCAAATGTGATCACAATAGATAAGTGCTGTTCCTGAAAAGACTTATCAACATTTGACCAAGTGACCCTTTATTCAAAAAATACCATCACTGATTAAACATTAGTTTGTATTAACAAATATCTCCTCGTGTTTTTTAATTGGAAATTGCTTATCATACAGGGTTACCCACAAAAAATGAGAATGCCAAGACGACTGTTCGGCAATTATATGACCTTCTTTTATAAGTTAATGGTTAAGACTAAAAACCTAATTCAACCTTCAGGTTTAAAGGAGTTTAAGGTCGTCATTGAATTTTTCCCCTTACAGAGAGGAACCTGACGGCAAAAGGGTCACTTCATGTTACGTTGTAAAATGTAAATTCCTATAAAACCTAAAGTGGCACTTTGAATTGAAATACTTGATTGATTGATTGACTTTGTACTTTCAGATTTCACAGATATCAATCATATATATATTTAAAAAAGATGGTCTTACTGTCTCAAGGTTTAGAATTTACAGGAACAATTGTGGATATCTGTCATACGAGGGAGGGGGTGCAGAGGCGCCATGATCCCCGCAAAAATGATCTCCGAACCTCAGGATTTGCAGAAATACCTCCCGGCCCCGCAAAACTGGTCTCCCAGCCTCAGTGACGTCACCAAGCCTCCCGCCATTTTGTCTCCACGCCCCGCATTTTGGCTCCAATAAAAAATATTTGGCTTTTATTTCCACCAAGAACCTTTTTTTAAAAAATTCTCAACATGATGAAATAGTTCAGAATTCAGATCTAAGACTCAAAACAGTTGAACTTCGTCAGGGCGCCTCTGCACCCCCTCCCTAGTCATACATAAACAACATGTAAACATAAACTTTGAATACTTTCTTTAAAAATAATATTTATAAAAATTCTGATTAAAAAAAAATACTTTTTCATGGCAAGATATTACAAATCATATCACATTGAAGAAAAAATCTGTTTTATTTAACACATTTTGACAACCAAATTCTTATTCACCAGGAAGTTCTAAAGATTGGCAGTTTTTTTTTTGAAAAATTTTAGAAAAAAATGGTCAAAGTTTTGAATAAGTTTACAAAAATAAAAAAAATCAGTTGAGAAAAACAATTTAAAAAAAATATAGCGAATTTCTAATTGCAATATTTGTATGTATGCTCGACTACATATTTGCACTATTCTAGAAAATACTGACTGAAATATGCAGGCGCGCAACTAGACATTTGGTTAGGGGGGGGCTAGGTGGAAATATTTCGCGCGAAGCGCGAAAAATTTTTTTGGCCCCCCCCCCTTAACATTTTTAGGGGGGGGCAAGAAAAATGTGTGTTATACTTAAACAATAAAAAACTAACCTTTATCTTTTTTTATTTTACGATAAGAGCTCTTAAATTTCCTCAGGGTCAGGATTCATGAATCGCTAAATTGCAAAACAGGGTGGACTTCGTCACTTCTTGCCCCCCCCTACAGGGGGGGGCAAGACTTCTTTAGGGAGGGGCATGCCCCCCCCTTAATCAGGCTAGGGGGGGGCCTGGCCCCCCTGGCCCCCCCCCTAGTTGCGCGCCTGGAAATATGTAAAATAATAACACAGGAAGGAACTGAATAAAAAGAAACAATGGTCTGATGTTATTGTTATGTTTAAAGGGAGTGACCGGCTATGTAAGGTAGTTTTGTGCAGTGTTGTGGAAAACTTTTTTCGGATTCATTTGAGACATATTAAACTTTTTAAAGATCTGTAAATCCTGAGTTTGAGCGCAAATTCGACGTTCATAACTCCTACTTTGGGGGTGGATACGTTTTCAGAAATATTTTTTTTTTCATTAGTAAATAACGACAACGAAAAATAAAGTAAAAATTATACAGTAGTCTAAATAGATGGTTAGGAACAAATTTTCCCAAAAGAAATTTGTCAATAAATCAATGCTAAAATCGATTATTTCTTTTCATTATTATAATGAATTTCTAATTTTCTTTGAATTTATTCGCAGATTTCTTCAAATTCTTCGTCGTCTTTTCAATAATAATTCTAGAAAATCTGGGAAAACTTTGTGAATAATGAGAAACCAGAATAATGAGATGATAGAAACTAATAATTGAACAAGATTACTTATTTTCGATGATAAGATTAATTTTTATGTTCTCAACATGTTCCTATACATGACGTCTGTAGTTTTTTGTAGAACTTTTTTACATCTTATGTAATCGTTATTTAGTAATTTAAAAAAAAACTAATTCTGAAAACATATCCACCCCCAAAGTAGGAGTTTTGAACATCGAATTTGCGCTCAAACTCAGGATTTACAGATCTTTAAAAAGTTTAATATGTCTCAAATGAATCCGAAAGAAGCTTTCCACAACACTATATACTCAGTTCAACTATCTTACATAGCCGGTCACTCCTTTAAAAAGTGTAAAACATAGAATATTTATAATCTTGATTTTACACAATTTAAAAGAAGAAAAAATTACGATGTTGCAAACAAATCAAAGCATGATGACATTGTGCATGCATATTTTCTAACTTTTCGTATGCAGTCTTAGAATTGCATTGTGGATAACAGGAAAAAACAACAAACATTTTACATATATGGTGTAACCCTTAGTTAATTCATCTGTTGGATCGAATCTTTAGTTGGATTATGAATAGGACGGATTTCTCCAGGTGGTATTTTGACACTAGAGGTGGAGGACGGATAGGAAGATGAGATTTAATAATTATCATAGTTTTCATAATCACCGTAATCACAACCTGACCCCTCGCAATCTTTCTCCTAAATAATTCAATTTAAACCAAGGTTCTTTAAAAAGGTTGGTTACTCTTGATGGGCTCCAATGTACGGAAAATGTTGTCTCCTTAGCATAGATAGATAAAATCCGCATAAGACGTCACTGATTATAGAGGCGGCGTCAAGTCTGACGTCATATGCGGATTTTATCTATTTTTGCTAAGGAGACGACATTTTCCGTACATTGGAGCGCATCACAAGTATCCAACCTTATTAAAGAACCTTGATTTAAAAAAATATTTTTCTAGTACCGATGGCGTAAACAAATCTTTTTGTCGTAGATTTTGCGGTTCTGGAAATCTTCTTTAAAATCTTCTGTTTTCTTTAATTCCAAATGACGTTTCTAACGAGTCTAACTTGCCATCCGCTACTCCACTCCCCGCCCCGCACACTCCCCCCTCCTACTTTTTGGGACAGACCTAACTGTAATCAATTGCAGTGTATTTCCGTTTTCAAGTCTATTCCTTTTTTCCTTCCTAGCTTTTATGGATATTTTAAATTTTACTTTTTAATGGTTTTTTTTAAATTTCACTTTATACTAATAAATACCCACCTCTCCCCCCCCCCCCCCTCCATTTCGAATGTTAGTGAAGGCACTATGGACTATGCTTGAGAAGGACTATGGCACTACTAAGACCACTAACACTTGTCTTGAGAAAGAACATGATGACGGGAATTATGTTTGCGAGTATAATATGCAAGCTCACTTGTGTAAACACTTCCTAATTTCATGCAGAATCTACAGGTCATGCAAACGAACATATGTTGTTGTTTGATATTTTATGATTGCACGGGGTTTATTAATAATTAATATTTTAAATCCCCTTTCTGTATTCCTGGTTTTGCGACAGTATCGATAATGATTTTTACACTGTACACAAAAATTAAAGTTTTCCCCCAAGTTCTCTCTTGAGTCTTCTGTGCACCCCCCCCCCCCCCTTATTAACATATTTTGGCAACCTCGCGTAAATAAACTTTAAAAAGTTCTATAATTCAGCAGTAGTTTTATTCAACGAAATAAAAACTACATGAATGCACGAAGTTTGTGAAATCAAATCAGAACATAATAGAAATATAATTAAAACAGTAAATGTAACTTTTTCACTTACCCCTTCTTCATGAGTTTCAGACTCATCCCCTATACAATAAACACTTTCAATTTTAAGTAAAATGAACATGCCACAGGGTATCCCACATCATCATATTGGATCGTGTTATAGCTTTAAATTGCAATTTTCGGGACTATTCAGAAGATCTGAAAAGAAAGAATCATTAAAAAATTGTATATTGCTAATATAAAGATTTGCTTGCAGTAAATACTAGGATTTTGGAGTATTATGTGCGTATTTTAGCGTTGTAAGCTTAGAGATAATCTAATATGATATGAGACGCTATGTGCAAATGGTGTCAGACAGAACCTGAGAATTTAGGGACGCAAATTCTAAATCGTCTTTGATCCAAATCCACACCTAAAACAATTCACACCGAACACAGCTTTGGGATTTTCAAAATGGGGTCTAACGTTTTTGTACTTTGAAAAATGTCCTGATTCCAATTTACTAAATAACATCAAAATTGTTAAAATACTTCACAGCTTTGTCGTTTGAAAATTTAAAAACGGGAGACCACATTAAGAAAACATAACACGTATAATCTTTTTTTTGCTAACACTCTTAGTCATAATTCATCTTTCGACACCATTTAAACCCAATTGATATAAGTCTCTGAAAAGATATCATAATTTTTTAATCATTATTCTAATCGTTAGCTTGCATATTTTCTACGCACCTCTATAGACATTGAGATAATTTGTAAACATTAAATAAAAAAGAAAATTATTTTCTACGCACATCTAGGCATTGAGATAATTTGTAAACCTCAAACAAAAACAAAAAAATTTCTACGCAACTCTAGGCATTGAGATAATTTGTGAATATTTAATAGAAAAGAAAATTATTTTCTACGCAAATCTAGCTAGGCATTGAGATAATTTGTATACATTAAATAAAAAAGAAAATTATCTCTAACTAAAATATTTTCGGGATAAAGATTTTACAGAAGAGTTTGCTAAATAAAATGTGGATTACTCTGACGAGAGAGAGAAACTAATAACGTCATATCATATTGAATAATCTGTTCTAAAATCTATCGTTTAAAAAAACATATTTTCAAAACCATTTCCTTCATTTGTCTATATTGAAACCCTTTAGGGGCCTAAGGTAACAGAGAAAATCTGTGAACAAGACACTATTCCAATCCATTAATCAGGTCTTCAATAAAACTTTTAAAAAATTCAAATTCTTTTATGAAGTTTAAAAGTAATAATGTTAAAGGTGTTTAATTTATTTTTGGCCCTGTTTAAGTGCAAATTTGTTGGGATACTTTTTTTTTCACCTTGGATACAGTTTTGATTCTAATATAGGGCACATTTTTCTGCTTTTTGGAAACAAAGACAACATATAAAAAGGGAAAATTTGAATGTTAAGGCATTGTCACCCAGCCAAGAATGCAAACACAATGAAAAGATTACTTGGAGAAGTAGGGATAGGTGAAGTAAGGGAAGAAGATAGTGAGGAGGCAGGTGAAACAGCATCAGGCTCAGTTTTGGTTTTAGCTCAGGAATCTGAGCTTCTCAGGGAGCAGTCATCTTCAAGGTTGAAGGCCATATTAAGAGATTATGGGTACAACATGAAGAGCAGCTCTCAAGTTAGAAGCCTTACCTCAGAGTCAGCTTCACAGGATCCTGGGTCTGCCCAGGACACTCCATTAGGGGCTGAA